CTGCCCTCTGTTATCCGCCAGCTTTTGGTGAGTTTTGCTATGCCATTTTCACACACAGATGCAATATATTTGGATTGCTCATTCTCTAACATTATATCTTTATTTATTTTTTTTGAGATAGGATCTCACTAGGAAGCCTATGCTTAAGCTCACTACATGGCTTCAGACCAGTCTTCAACTCCTGATCTTCCTGCATCTTCCTCTAGAGTTCCCTGGTTGCTGGTATATGCCACCAGGTTCAACTGAAATTTGTATGAATGCTGCTTACATTGTGAGTATCAGTAAAACTTAATAAATCTAGTCTATCAGTATAGAACGTCCCAAAGAGAGTCACCGTGGAATCTAGGCAAATAACTCGGACTGGAACAGGGAGGAACATGGTTGTGGAATTCCAGTTTGTTGGGAATTCACAGTAACAAATAACAAATGAAACAAACAGCAAGTGGAGCCCTAGATCACCAGCAGGGGGCACTATAGACCAAGGCTGTCTTTGGCCACCTGCTGGAAGCAGATAAGAGCAGAGGAGTGACATACTATTCTAGCCTAAAGCCCAAACTACCCTGCTTACTGCACCAATGGTTACAAAATATAATTGTATCCCCCTTGTGTGAGACTGGATTTCTGAGATGACATCTGGTAAAAACTAGTGGTCAATATTGTTGTAAAGCTGAAAGCCAAAGAAACACAGGGTCAGGAAAACCTTCCATGTGCTGGCTGGCTCACACGTGTCAAAATATGATTGGACATGAATAATATTAAACCTGCAAGTGAGGCAGACTCCACAGATCAGGAGACTACAGAGGAATTTTACAAATACCTGCTCCATGTTGCACAGAGAAAGAGTTATGTAGAAGAGCAGACTTTCGATTTTGAGCCTAGTGGGTATGTTAAAGAAACCTAAACAGCAAAATCATGTTTGCAGCCAAACTTCATCCTGATCGTTTGATAGAGTTCCTCAAGAAAGTTTCTCCAAGCCGGGCGCTGGTGGCTCACGCCTGTAATCCTAGCTACTCAGGAGGCTGAGATCTGAGGATCGCGGTTCAAAGCCAGCCCGGGCAGGAAAGACCTTGAGACTCCTATCTCCAATAAACCACCAGAAAACCGGAAGTGGCGCTGTAGCTCAAGTGGTAGAGCGCTCGCCTTGAGCTGAAGAGCTGAGGGACAGTGCCCAGGCCCAGAGTTCAAGCCCCACGACCGACAAAAAAAAAAAAAAAAAAAAAGAAAGTTTCTCCAAAGGGATGAAGGTGTGATTTCTTCAGAGTGCTGGGTGAATGGGCATCATCAGCCATGCAGGCCACACTGCCGCGTGGACAGGAGTGAGGAAACTGAGTGGCTGATTTTTCAAGTCTCAGCTTGCCCTGGTGGCAAAAGGACAATGTGCTTGGGAGCAGCTCACAGGTGTCCAGCCACACTTGCATCAGTATAAGAGCATCCACTTCAGGATCCTTGCACCTGTTCTACTTTGCATCGAGGCCTTGCTGCCTGTGATTCATCCAGGGTAGAGATCCAAGATCCTCCGTGGAAACCTGCCCTACAATGGTTAATGACAAAGAAAAGAGGTTTGGAGCATCTTGTTCTGGCCCTTCTAAGACTCCAGGAGGAGTCATACCATTCATTTAAGCAGCACAATACCTGGACAGTGTGTAGAACACTATGGTGCTCAGCTGGGTATGGATTCAACAGGAGCCTCATGCTCTAGCGGGAGCCTAGAAAGTTCTCATAAGGCCACAGCGGCTCTTGAGATGCCAAACATTGGGAAATACTTCTGCTTTTCACAGGAAAGGGAAAAGTAACCATGGTGAAACACACTCAGAACTCATTAACAACGGCATGCATTGGAGAGAAGCTGTCTCAGAGTCTGACCAGGGCGAGTCTTTCCCACAGTGTAACACCCTGGGGATGGAGAAATGCCCAACTCTAACCTTCTTTAGCCTGGCTATCTTATCTAAAGAAGGGGCAGTGGGAAGTACCTGAAAATCACAGCCCAGAGTTATGATTGTATTATGTAACAATAAGTATCAAATAATAAATAAATAAAATGAATAAAAACACCTCACTAATCATAGGGATTTAGAGATAGAAGTGCCCAGTTAATGCCAGAATGACTTACAACTACAATTTTATGATTGTACAAAAGTGATACATCATAGAATTTGGAATTTTAATCTTTTCCCAGGCTGGGATATGCTGTATAACACTTTCAGAACACTAGGTGGGGCCATTAAGCCATAGATCCCAGCCAGCCACAGGGTTATGAAGGGAAACACCTGGCACTGTACTTGTGATTTCAGTATTTTTAGGCTACGAGTATTCAATAAGTAGCATAATATATTCAAAACTTAATTATAAAATAGTCTTTGTTTAGAATATTTTGTTCAACTGTAGGCTAATGTCAGTGTTCTGAGCATGTTCATGCTAGGATAGGATAGCGATAATATACAGGTTAAGTGTGTTACACATTTGGCTTATAACTACACTGGGATTTATAGTGATATCACCTCAATGTGTAATATTTGCTCTCCCTCCACACCCTGTAATCGCACAGATCATTCTTTCACACAATCACAGTGGAGCAGAGCTGGGAAAGCTGAGTCTCAGAGCATAGTGGCTTATGCCTGTAATCCCAGCTACTCAGGAGGCTGATATTCTGGAGGACTGAAGTTCAAAGCCAGCTTGGGAAGAGAAGTCCATAAGACTCCATCTCCAAATAACCAGCAAAGATGCGGAAGATGAGGCTCAAATTGTAGAGCACCAGCTGAGCAAACAAGCTGAGCAAGTGTGAGGCCCTGAGTTGAAGCCTTGTTACAAAAAAGAAAGAGAGAGAGAGAGAAATAAAAGAAAGAAAGAAAGAAAGAGAGAGAGAAAGAGAGAAAGAAAGAGGAAGAAAAGAAAAGAAAGGCAGGAAGTCCCAAAAACAAGAGAGAAAAATGAAGATACTAGAAGAAAATTTGTTCTCTGTTACTTACAGTTCTCCTTACACCAGCATCTCTCAGAAAGACACAATTAGAGACTTTTGCTTTAAGTCTGGAATACTTTCATCCTGAATTTTTTCTCCACACAAATTTTTAGGATGGAAAGCAGTTGGCATCTAGAATCCTTGTAGGGTTTGCTGCTGGCCAACTGACAGGACCAAGCAGAAGGGGCTTAGGGGCTCCTCGGGACTGAAAAGAGTCCTCACAAATGTATTGTAATGGAAAGGACAGGTCAGCTTCTGTGTGCTGGGGATCTTAAGTACAACCTTAAGCTGAGGATCACCATAACATATATAGGCACTGGTAACATACAGAGGCTCCTATGACTTGGAGTATCCCAGCCAGGATGGCCGGCCATGGAGAGCCCTTGCTCCCTGAGCTTCTCTCTTGGAGAAGGTAGGGAATGGAGCAGCAGATCCAACTGGAAACCTGTGTTACTGTAATCCACAGATGGCCTCTCTTAAACCTGCTTCCCTATCAGGATGAGCTGCCTGAGAATACAACCTGATATGAGGAACATGGTGTGCTATGAATTTTGGTTCTGTGTTGTGCATTTCTCCATTGAGTTTTTAATTGCAGATATTTATAACCTTAACAAAGCTCAGATCATACTTTCAAAATACATATAACATTTACCAACTTACTCTGTGTGTGGGGGGGGGGTATGTGTGTGTGTGTTACTTTGTTTTGAGACAAGGTTTAGGCTCTCCTGAAACTCAAGATCTTCCCAGTGCTGGAATCACAGGCATTTACCATCTTGTCCTATTTCATCTTAGCTAGTGTCTATATGTGTGTATGTGTGTGTGTGTATGTGGGGGTGGGGGTGGGTGGGTGAGTGCACGCGCATGTGTGTGTGTGCGAGCACAAATCCTGGGCTTAAACTCAGGGTCTGGGAACAGTTTCTGAGCTTTTTATTTTTTCCCCTTCAAAGCTAGAGCTCTGCCACTTGAACCACAGCTCCATTTCCAACTATTTGCTGGTTAAGTGAAGACAAGAGACTCACAGACTTTCCTGCCTGGGCCGGCTTCTAACTGTGACCTTGAGATCTCAGCCTCCTTAGTAGCGAGGATTATAGGCACGAGCCACCAGAGCCTGGTTCACTTTAGTTACCTTTACGAGTACACTTCAGGGGAACTAATACATTTGAATTGCTGTGCAATCATCACTCCCATCCATCTGTAGAACTCTTTGCATCTTGCAAAACTGTAACTCAAGCACTAGCTCTCCATTCATCTGTCAGGTTTAGAACCCACCCCCATTAGACTTTCTGTGGATTTCACCATGGTAGGAAGCTTACATGTGACTTACTTCAGTTTGAATATGTGCTCAAGATTTACCCATGTTGCAGCATCTGTCAATTTTTTCCTCCTCCTCAATGCTGAATAAGGTTCCACTGCATGGGTGCACCACGCTGTGTATACCATCCATCTGTTGATGAACCCTTGTGTGGCTTCCACCTTTAACCTTTAGGCTCTTGTAACTATTTCTGTTATGGCCACTAATGTTCAAGAAGTGGAAAGCCTGCTTTATGCTTTTATGAATACACTCAAAAGTAGGATTGCTGGATCATATAATGATTCTACATTTAGCCTTTCAAGGAACCACTATCTTTCCCCAGAGCATTTTACATTCCCACCAACCATGTACAAGAATTCCATTCCTCCACAGCCTTGTTGACACCAATCTGCATTTTTTATAGTAACCATCCTAATGGATGTAACTGGCATGGAGAACCAGGCACTAGTACGTTCAGCAGGCGGTCACTGGGGATGGGGAGGTCAGGAAGTTAGGAGAGGCCCCGCCAGGGAAGGCAGGATGGCAGGTGGACTCCTTCCCCATGGCTCAGGTCACCTGGGCAGCTGGCTAAGAGAGGGCATGGTCTGAGCAGCAGAGGACGTGGCCTGGAGGCCCGCGGGACGGATGGGGCGTGTCTGGCCGAGGGCATGACGTACGACAGTGGGCGTGGCGTGACGGGCGTAGCGTGGAGCCTGGCGGGATTTTCAGCTGGGCCGGACCAGAGCAGCCACCGGGCACCGCGCGTGCGCACTCGTGGCGGCGCCCCGACTGGAGCTATGGCGGCGGCAGCGCTGGGCTGTCGCGGCGCGCTGCGGCTGAAATGGCTCCTCTCGCCGCTGAAGCCGGGCTTCCACGTACCCCGAGCTAGGCCCGCGGCCGCCTTCCGGTAATGGCGCCCCCTCCTCCGGGAGCCCCCGCGTCGTGCGCTCGGGACGGGGAGCACGCGAGGGGCGCGGCGGCCCCGTGGCCGGGCCGGGCGGGGCGTCGGCCGCAGCCGGCCTCGGCCATCCGGCGAGGCAGGGTGCGAGCGCCGCGGCCGCGCATGCGCATGCCTGGCTGCACGTGTCGCCCCGCGGCCCTGGAGGGTCGGGGGGTCGTTCGGCGTGGTCGGCGCTCGGACGGGGGCCCGGGAGGTAAATCTGCGCGCCAGCACCGACTCCCCGTGACTCCCGGGTTGGAAGGGGCGCCCAGGAGCGCTCTGCCCGGACCCCTTCCTCCTCTCCTGCCTTGGGTGTGCCTGGGCCGCCTGTAATCTCTGCTTCGCGGGCAGTGGAGGTAGGGTCGCCAGCACCGGCCTACCCCAGGAATAAGCAAAGAGCTGGGCTTGTGGCTCAAGTGGTAGTAAGCCTGCCCGCCTAACATGCACAAGCCCTCCGTTCAAACCCACAGTTCCACCAAGAGGAAGAAGAGCCTAAGAATTAGCTCTGGAGTGCTGATCACACTGAAGTCATGAAACCGTAGGTTCCAAGTCTCCTAATCTTTTCCCAGAAATCCTTCTCTCCTCCCTTCAGCTGAAACAGTGATACAAAAGAAACCTGGCTTCATTTCTGACCTGCTCTCTAGAAAATGACTGCGCACAGTCTCAAGAGACAGCAGGGTTGGAGCAACTTGAAGTCTCCTATAGTTCTTGGTCTAGTTAACATGCCTACACATACACGTGCACACTCATACACAAACATGTACAGTGCATGTATGCAGTTAGCATGCATTTCTACTGGCATTTAGGATTTTACTTTAGAAGCTACTGATTTAAAACTTAGTTTGGGAAATGGCACTGCCGCTCAAGAGGTAGAGCTTTAGCCTTGAGCTGAAGAGCTCAGGGAGAGTGCTCAGGCCCAGAGCTCAAAACCCAAGACCAACCAAAAACAAAAACAAAAAGCTTAGTTTGGAAAAAGAAAGGACAGCAAATCTGACCAGCTTAAACATTTTTCATAGTGTAATTGACCAGCTCTTGAGTTTCATATTTGACTTGGGTTTCTTTCACTACTTTAGAATTTTTAGAAGGTTTTCAGGACTTTTGGTCCAGGTGGACAAACATGTCAATTGCTGCAGTTATGTAAGTTGACTGATAACCAGGCATTTTATCTAGTTTCCTATTTGCAGAAAGGGATTGGATGTGGTTACTGTGTTGCACCTGTATCATACTTCTGATGATAGGATAGGCAATGTAATGGTTGCAGGCAGACCCTAGCCACCTTGCTCCCTCTGTAGACCATTCTTCCTTTCTCTTAAGAAACAGGTTTCTCTGGACTTTCCACTGCCACCTATCAATGCAGTTGAACATCACCCAGCACAATCTGAATACAAGTAGTGCTGGCTAATCCTTAAAAGAGGTGGCAGCCCCATGTAAGTGGGTAAAAACATTTCTGAAATAAACTGCTTCAAAACAGCTTGTATTTTGAACTTGAAACTGAGCCGTTTGCCAAAAACTTGCTTGTAAATCTGTTGTTTGGAATTGCCACCCTTTTCTTGTTTTGAAATCTCAAAGGTAATTTGTTCCTGGCTCAGTAAAAAAAAAGTATATTCTTCCTGTGTGCTCAGTTACAATATTAATATTTACAGACTCTTAATCTGCTAAAAGGTTTTTTTTATTAGCATACATTATTTGTACAAGGGGTTTTATTGTGCCATTTCCACACATGTGAACAACGCTCACAGACCAGCCTTACTCCCTATTGTACTCTCTCCATCCCACTTCCCCATTTTAAAACAATTGCAATAGGTTTCTTGGATCTGTTTTCAAACATGCAAATAAACTAACCATATTTTTCCTCACCCGCCTGCTTTTGTTTACTCTTCCTCTCCTCCCACTGGACCTCACCCTTTTCCAAACCTGTTTCACTTTTTTTCCCCTGTCATTCTTTTCTTCTTCTTCTCCTTCTTCTCTTTCTTCTCCTTCTTCTCCTTCTCCTCCTCCTCCTCCTCCTCCTCCTCCTCCTCCGCCTCCTCCTTCTTCTTTTTAAAGTTTTTGTATTCATTGCACCAAAGGATTCCATTGTGTTGTTTCAGGCATATTACATATATATGTATATATATATATATATATATATATATATATAATGTTAAGAATAACTCTATTGCTTTCTCATCCCCTACTCCCTCAATGAAAAAAAAAATTCTGAGTTCAACCTTGGGACACCCTGTCAAAGACCTGGTCCTATCCTTCCCCAGTGCCTGCCACCACCTCTACCTGGCAGTCAGACTGAATGTTACCCCAGTGCCTGAGCCCTGCTGGGGACACTTTGCACTGAGATTGGAGAGAAAACTATTACTACTGCTTCCTAGACTCTTGCCTTGCAGAGTTTGTGAGAATTTGAAATAATGAATGTGAATGGCCTAGGGCCATAAATAATCAGTAATTAGGAGGTATATTTAGTAACAATTCAAGCAATAAAGGTGTAAGTAATGATACAATATATAAAAAGTATAGACGTTAATTCCCAATATTCATGTGAATTCAAGTCCTAAGATTAACTAATACTTCGTTACAAAAGATGGCTAGTTTATAAGAGATAGGTGAGCGTAAACTGAGAATGGTTTTTTGTTGCTAAGCTAAATGTGAAGCTGAATCCCTCAGATGCTCCTCTCTGCACGGCAAGTTGTGAGTGCTGATTGGATTACCTGATCCTTTAATCTACACTTCCTCTATGGTAATATTAAGTGTAATGTGCACTTCAGGGTGATATTAAATAAGTTCCCAGTAGACAGAGTACAGACTCAGTGACAAATGTTGGCTGTAATTTAGTTATTTGCTAAAGCTGTAATGTCATTCCCTCTCCCTCAGAGTCCGTGTCTCTCTCTGAGGGGAGCAGCTCTGCCCCCTCAGTACCATTGTGCTTCTTACCCTCTTCCCAGTCACAAAATTGACGTAGCCCTTCGGAAAAGGAAGTCAAGGACAAATCTTAGGTGGGAAAGCATGCTTTCAGGGAATTGTAGGAATTTTATCTTCCAAGAAATTAACGTTCTTAGTACATGTGTTTTCAATGTTGATTGCTTCTTTGAATTTCCTAGAGAAATTAAAATAATGTAGTAGCCTAGCTTCCAGTCCAGATTTTTTTTTGATGTTTTCATGTAGTGCAGCCCAGGGATCTTTTAGGAGTTTGGCAGATGATTCAGATTGAAGTTTGAGCCCCACTGAAATAGTAGGAGGCAGGAAATGCTCTTGTGAAAAAGGAACTGAATAGATGACCATGGAGCTGTTGGTGAAGGTGGATTGAATTTGGTGACTTGAACCTTACTCCAGAGTCTCTGTCCCATAGCTTCTCTTTCATAGGACTGCATGTGATACACTGTGAATGTTAGTGCAAGGTTACTTTACTCATCTCCTGATTGACTCCAGGCTGCAGAAAGACATAGCCTTAGCACAAAGTAGGTATTTAGGAAATACATAAATTTGGTAAAGTTTTGGTGTGTTTTGGTGGTATTGAGGTTTGAACTCAATGTCTACCACTTGAGCCACACCCCAGCCTTTGTGTGTGTGTGACAAGCACACATGTATGTGTTGGTACTGGCTCTCTCTTGAGAGAGAGTTCTGTCTGGTTAATTGAAGATAAAAATCTTTTGGATTTGTTTGCCTGGCTGGCTTTGAACTGGGACCAGCCAGCCTCCTGAGGAGCTAGGATTATAGGCATGAGCCACCAGCACCTGGCCCCTTTTTTCTTTAGTTTATTTTCAGATAGGGTCTGCTAACTTTTTCGCTTCTGCCACCTTCTAGGAGCCATCCTCCGGTCTCCACCTCTCTAGTAGGATTACAGGTGCATACCACCATGCTGGTAGAAGTTTAGGTAGTTTTGAAAGCGGCTCCCAGGGCTTACCCCAGGATTATTGAATGTCTCTCAGGATTGTCCCAGTGTGTGTTTGTGTGTGTGTGTTTGTGTGTGTATGTGTGTGTGCCCACATGCACGTGTGTATGTGTGTGTTTGTGTGTGTAAGTAAATTATTAAGTAATCCTAATTAACATGCCTCCTTTGGAACACTTGGGTTTGAGAGATGTTATTAGGAAGGGAGAAAGGTTGGAAAAGACAAATTGACAGCCAGAGGAAAAGGATAGATTTTTGTCTTTTGTTTCTTTTTTTTTCTATCCAAATATTAGGGAAATTTTATCTCGAATGTGATTCAAATAGTAAATAGCTGTTAGGGCTATTGAGGACCTTGTCTGTGTGATCTAATTTTCTTCCAGTGTGCACATAGTTGTTAATCTGAGGCCTGTTTTAAGAGGCCTTCTGATAAGCTGGAGCAAAAGTGTTATATTCAGTCCAGATATCTGCATTTCTGTGGAAATACAGCTTTCAGTAACCTTGTTGTCTTTAAAAATAAACCTTTTCCTTTTGTTTGAAGTTGATTTGCTTTTGTTCTATTTATGAACAAATAGTCCTCTACTCTCCCTCTTATACACACTTACTCACAGATGGGTGAAAGATGTGTGGCATCCCCAAGGGATGGGCTGATGTGTCGATACAGGTCCCTTGGGTGCACTAGTTATAGGAGGAGTAGACAGAGCACTAGGGAAAGCCTCTCTCCTTATTCTAGCTGCAAACCCTTCACCATTGGATGCCAACCCTGGCTCCCTCTGCCTTCACATTCTTTCTGTTGAACTTGGACCTTTGGTCATGCTAGGTTTTCTGAAGTGCCCTCACTATGACATTCTTTTCTCAGAATTTTACCCATCTTTGGAAATTCATCTCAAAAGCTACTTTTCTTCTCTCCAGATCCTACCCAGCTTTGACCTGAGCTATCTCTCTTCCAGAGCCACCTTCAAAATCCTATGCCCTGAAAATCCTTCCCCAGCATTGACTCCCATGAAGCTGAACTTTAAAGCCTACCTGATTTTTGACTCCGATTTTCTTTTAGACAGCCAAGAGATTTGGGGACAGTGAAAACTAGAAAAGGCACATTTGGAATGGGCAGTCAAAGCATCCTTCCAGCTGAGGGAAATTAGGTTTTTACAGGAGAAATGGGAATAGTCATAGAAAATGAAGGAAAGAAGCCTGTGAGCCGGTGCTCTGCAGGGGTGCAGAGGTATAGGGAGTTCTACCAGCAACCTTAACCTGAAGCCATGCGTTTTATGCATTGGGAAAGATGGGGAGAGTACAGGTTGACTTCTGGTATAGCTAATGCAAACCCTGAAAGTGCTGTTCGCTCTCCTCAGGGACTGGCCTTGTTTAAGAAAATACAGGAAATACCATCAGGAACTGTTGTCCCATCCAGGTGTCTCAAGCTTTTTTCCTCAATCATACTAGTCCTCTTGAAGGTTTGCAGAGCAAATCTCCCCTGTCTTTATTGCCCCCCTTGCTCAATTGGGACCAAAACAGATGTATCAATAAATGAATGTGTGCTAAAGTGAGTCTTTATTTCCTGACTACATTGATTTATTTCTATTTTGATCCTGAGATAGCTGATGTCATCCTAACAATGAGGTAGATTTTAGAGGAATAGGAGATTAATAATTAGGAAATTGGTAGAATCAGTGTTGTACTGACATTGCTTAATGGTTTTACTATTGCTGATTTAGTAATATTTCTGCAGATAAGGAGTTTATGTTATCTCACATCTTCTTCCCAATTTCATCTTACAATTTTCCAAAAACTGAGTTAAGATTTGATGTACTAGTCCATTCAACATATCCTTTTTCCTGTTCTCCTCATTACTTGAATGAAGTTAGCAAGTCAGATGAAAGGAAATGAGGAAACGGGATTTTTTTCCTTTAAAAACACTGTGGATGTCTATGAGGTAGTCATATGGTTTCTCTCAGCATCTCTCCTGACATGTCATGTATCTCCTGTACACATGATTGTCTTCTGTATAATAGGTGGTTGGGAAAGCTCTTGGAGCATGGCATAGGAGCTTGGTACAGGCAGTACCAGTGCATATCCCTGGATGGTCTGTTCTGGAGCATTGGGAAAGGCATATAGAGCCTCTGACAGGACAGACACTGGCAGCAGCCCTGTTTTGAGGCCTTGTCCTGGGCACACATGACACAGTGCTGGAAGGTGGAATTGAATGGTCCACCCATGGGTACACAGGAGTATGTGTGTGCCATGCCACACTTCAGTGATTTAGAAAAGCCCTGTTCCATACAGAAATATATCTGCATGTTAACAATCAGCAAGACCATGTCAGTACATCTGGTGTTCCTAAGTCCTGCTGCAGGTAGCCAGGTGACACAAGAAGTGCTGCCCCTAAATAATAGTTTGAGATCAGGGCCTTCACTGGGGACCCCTGGTGACAAGCCCACCTTGAGGGTATTTCCAAGGCTGCTGAAGGTCCAGATAGCTGATCTAGATCTGCTGGGGTACAGATCTAGCTTCAGTCTCTGTTCCTGTTGCCAGCTCTTATATTTCAATGTGCACAGCTCCATATGAACCTGCATGTGGGTACCGATGACTTCCAGCCCCTCAGGACTGTGGGAATATCTGATGGGTATTGATTTCAGCAACCCTCGTGGTGCTTTTGTCAGGTAAGCCCCTGGCTGGCTGCAGCAGCAGATTCCAATGGGAAGATACAGATCTGCTGTTCATATTACAGTGGGGGGCTAAAAGCTGACGCACAATTCCCTATCCGTGATGCCTGAGAGGGCTGTGGTGCCGCCTCATGCTTGTGAAAGGCATTTCTTTCATATTAAGTTTAAGGTTGGTGTACTAAATGATTTTCCTTTGGGATTTTTCTTTTTCTTTTAGCACCACTGTGACCTCTGCCAAAGTTGCTGTGAATGGCGTTCACCTTCATTATCAGCTGACAGGAGAGGGTGCTCATGCAGTCCTGCTGCTTCCTGGGATGCTTGGTCTGGATATTTTTAATGGATATATTGAGTGCATCCTTTGTGTTCTCTATGCTATAATCATGTTACTAGATGTCCAACATTGATGGTTAATCTTAGTACGATGCCAAAATGTTTTAAGGGATATTTGCTAGAGTCACATTAGGATTATTCAGAAAATAAATCTGTTTCTACTGTATATACTTTTGCTTCCTATAAGTACTTAGTTTACCCATTGAGAACACTGTGAAACCAGTTACCTTTGAGGACGACAGTGGTCAGGAAAAGGGGCGTGGGAGAATGGGGCAGGTGATAGGAGTCAATGAGCTGCTGTTCCAGTTGTCTGGAGATTGAGAAGTTTTCCATAGTATGGGCTCCGTAGAGCTAAAACCAGGATGATTGCTCACTGTTGTGGTTGACATGATTGATTAGAGCTAAGAACAAGATGCTTAAAGCCTCTTTTTTTGAGGCAAGGTGGCTCAAACTCTCCATCTTCCTGCTCCAGTCTCCCAAGTCCTGGGATTATAAGGGCTTCCTTCCACATGCAGCCAGTATAAAATCTTTTTTTTTTTAAATTAAAATGAGATTAACATATTGCCCATTCTCAATGTGTGAGAATAGTAAAGCCCACTGAATCTCAACTTCATTTCACAGTAGTCCAGATGTAGGAAGTTCAGAGGGAAAATTTATAGTGAGCCCAGGATATCCACATGTTAGTTTTATGAGGCTTAGGATTGTCACTTTATCTTTTGTTTAGTTAAGAATCCAAGTATATATTTATTTCCTTGTGCTTTGGTTCTTTCTCAATTGATTTTCTAATTGTCCAAGCTTGAACAGATACAATACCATTGTAGCTAGGGAAGCATCTTTGTAGGTGGTATTTATGACTGAGTTTTTCTGATGTCACTGTATGAGATACATTAGGTAATGTCAAGCTAAAATCAATTTACCAAGTTAGAGTTCTGTTATTTTAGTACATCAATAATTAACCAGGCACAAAAACTTACCATTTTTTTGTTATAGAAAACATTTCCATGATTCCAAAATTTTCAGATGAAAAATAAGAGTGTTTCTCCTCTCCATATTCAGTCCTCCTCCCCATGAGCCCTTAAATACTATTTCCTGGTAACGAATATATGCTCCTTTAACACTTGTTTAAAAGTTTACTATTCCTGGTCTTGGTTTTCAAATGTATACACATGGGCCAAAATGTCTTGTCATTTTGAAATTTTTCTGTAGCTTGTTCCCTTCCCCCATCTCCCTGTCTTTTGCCCTGCATTTAGGACAGTTCCTTACAGAGGCGCCCTCCACTCAGGGGCATAGGAGAAGCTTGTGTGTCAGAACAATAGACACAGCTAGAAATCCATTGCTTTTTTTGGCTTGGGCATTGTGATTGATTTACCTGGTTTTTAGGAAGGGGTGCCTTGAAAGGAAGAATAATGGCCTTTATAATATTAGTGATCCTCACCACTGGAAAGACATTGCTACAGCTCTGAGAGTCCCTTTGTGGCCTAAATTCTGTGTCTTCAGAATCAAGTAACTTTTACTGGTAAATGCCTATCTGTTACAGGACTGAGCTCTTCTTTCCATTGCTGCCCAGTGGGTGTGTGCATACCACAGGCTATGTGACCATATGGCTAGCTGGGAACTGTCAGTCAAGGTTACCCAAACTTGAGAAAAGTTCTACTTGCTATCATAAACTGTTCTGTACTTTTTGATAAAGCAAACTTAATTTGATTTTTTCCATAGTTGAACCTCCTTCTTTTCCCATTTCAATGTTTAATTTCCTAGTTACTCCCTCCCTCCCTCCCTCCCTCCCTCCCTCCCTCCCTCTCTTCCTTCCTTCCTTCCTTCCTTCCTTCCTTCATTCCTTCCTTCTTTTCTTCCTTCCTTGGCTAGAACTCTGAGCATGGAGCTCTATCTTGGCTTTTTCTGCTCAAGTCTGACACTCTGCCACTGGACTCACACCTCTATTTTTGAGCTTTGTGTGTTAACTGAAGCTAAGAGTCACATGGGTTTGTCTGTCTGGGCTGGCTTTGAACCTCAGTTCTCTAATTTCAACCTCTTGGGTGGCTAGGATTGTACACATAAGCCACTGGTGTTTGGCTTATTTCCTGGTTTCTAATTCTAATAGAATAAAATCTTCAGGACTATTCATTTTAGCTTAGTAAAATGCCGTCTGGAAGTTTAGAATTTCCTTTGAATAACTTGGGTCAAAGATCATTACAGATTTTATTGTGACATTTCTTATTTATAAGTAATTTCTTATGAGAAGACAGGCAATAAAGAATTAAACCATATCCGTATGTTTATTTCCATACAGTTTCATTAATTTTTAAAGGCGGAAGTAATACTAGATTCAATGAATAGTCAAGACCCCTGTCCTGAAAATAGCCACTAGGGGGCAATGAGCAGCAAGGCTACAAGCCCCTAGTAAATGATTGAGTCATTCTGAGACTACTTTCCTGATTATGTTCAGAATAGCAGCTAACTCCCTTGTTTTGAGATTATTATTGCATCTTTTTTCACCCTGATGTGTTTGATAGAACAAAGCATTAATTAGTGTGTAACACAATGGCGGTTTGCAGGAAGCGGAGGGACTGATTTTGCACCCCAGCTTAGCAGCCTGAATAAGAAGCTCTTCACAGTAATTGCCTGGGATCCTCGAGGCTATGGACACTCTAGACCTCCAGATCGAGACTTCCCACTGGACTTTTTTGAAAGAGATGCAAAAGATGCAGTTGACTTGATGAAGGTGGGTTCCAGGGAACTACTTAGGAGAGGGGGGATGGCTGGGACTGTCTTCATTTATTTTTTGTCATTCTTTAAACAAAGGCAATACTCTATGATTCCTGTAGAACTGGGATGGGGAACATCTGACCTACAAAACAATTTTGTTACGTGACTGAACATTCTTGTTAGTCTACCATCCATCTGCCTATGTTGATAAGTTTATATGGCCCAGGGATGATGTTATAAATATCCAGATGACCCTTGGGAGAAGAAAGTTTCCCCACCCCTGAGAATCCAAAGAGTTCCAAGAGATACAAAGAAGTAAGTAGATATATCACACAGTCTAGTACTTAAAGACACCACTGCAAAGACTTTTAAGGCTTTGCCTTTCTGACAGGTCATATATAAATACACTTGTTCTGATGGCATGCACTATATTTAACATTCTTCCAACTCTTTGTTTTCAGTGACCAACTTGTTAAGGAAACACCTCTTCCTTACAGTAGCTGCATTTGCATCTGTCTTACAGTAGCTGCAGGCTGCAGATGTCCTCCTTACCCATGGTTCTGCTTTCTATGCAGTCTAGAAATATTAAGTGGAAAATTCCAGAATAATTCATAAAGGGGTGTGTGTGTGTGTGTGTGTGTGTGTGTGTGTGTGTGTACACCAGTTATGAGGCTTGAAGTTAGGCCTGAGTGCTGTCCTTGAGGTCTTTGCAGGCTATCATTCTACCACTTGAGCCACAGTTTCATTTCTAGATTTTTGGTGGTTAATTGGAGATAAGTGTTACACAGATTTTCCCAGCCAGGCTGGCTTTGAACTGCAGTCTTCAGATCTTAGCTTCCTACATAGGATTATAGGCATGAGCCTCCAGCACCTAGCTTCATAAAGTTTTAAATTCTTTTTAAAATTAAATTTTAATTTATTTTAGCTGATACATTAAAACATAAAATTATACATATTAATATGGCATGTTTTCATTTATACATTATATAATGTTCAAATTAGGTTGAACATTTATCACCTCTTTATGATAAAAACTTTCAAGATACTTTCTTTTAGCTTTTTGAAATGTAACTTTTTAATTGAAATGGAACTTTTTTACTATTGTGATCATAAGTTTTAAATTCCATGACATTCGGAGTACTGATCTCACACTGCCTCACTCCCCCACCTCCCATCCACCTGGAATCTGAATCATCCCCTGGTTCATACTCACTCTGTTCTGCATACATGTAGAAAAAACTGTCTGTGTTAACAGCACTCACTGTGGGGCTTCCACCTGTCCCCTACAGATTTCATTGTGTAGATACACTGTGTCTTTCCATGATGTTACCTAATTAATTTGGATTTTAATTATAAATAGAAGTATAATAAACACTTTGTTATTTGTAGATTTAGTTCTTTTTCCTTGCTATTCTGAAGAATATTGTAGACATTGTAAATAAGTTGCCAGAATTTCATGTGAATTTGGGAGACAATGTATTGGGTTATAGAAGATACATTCATTTATAGCTTAGTGCCAAATGATTATCTATAGTAGTTATGCCACAATATCCCATCCAAATGTCTTGGAGTAATATTTGTTAATGCTTCAGTTTATCTTTCTAGTCATTCTAGTTTTATTCTAGGCAACATCTCTCAGAGGCTGTGTCCATTTTCTTTGCCAAACACATTTTCAGAATCCTGGTTGTCTCACTGATGACTTATGCTGCTTTGCCATTCTCTTCCTTCTTGTCTGTAGCTGTGTGCTCCCCCAGGGGTGGCCTGTGACTTCAAGTTCCCTCTCAAATCCACAGGTTTGCTCTCAAAACCTTATTCAGACACACACACCAATATGGGTGTTATATCCAAGTATAAATGATTTCCATTGCTCCTATTCCTTGGCACATTTTCATCCAACCAGAAGATACATAGTTCCCATGTAATCCAAAACAAGTTTTTATGACAATTATGTTTATACCCAAGTTAATAGAGAGAAAGCACCATGTTCTCAAGTAGAAGACTCTAGGATTTTCCTTTTACTACTAAGTGATCCTCCTGATAATATACCTGTAGTGGTTCTCATCAGTATTGACTCAGGCTCCTTTATTAGAGAGGAGCAATAACCTGTGTCTTGCATTGTTCTGTATTTGTCACAGGCACTGCAATTTGAGCAAGTTTCCCTGCTGGGCTGGAGTGATGGTGGCATAACCGCACTCATTGCTGCTGCAAAGTACCCATCTTACATCAGCAAGATGGTGATTTGGGGAGCAAATGCCTATGTCACTGATGAAGATGAAAGGATTTATCAGGGTAAGTCCTGCCAATTGGAGATGTCACAATGATGATCCTTTTTTTTTTCCGGTTGGTCATAGGGCTTGAACTCAGGGCCTGGGTGCTGTACCTGAGCTTTTGCACTCAAGGTTGACACTTTACCACTTTGAGCCATAGCACCACTTCTGGTTTTTTTGGGTGGGAGTTAATTGGTGGTAAGAGTCTCATGGACTTTCCTGCCTGGGCTGGCTTCAAACTGTGGTCCTCAGATCTCAGCCTCCTGAGTAGCTAGGATTACCCAACTGATGATTCTTCTTATACTTCTTTCTGTCTCAGTCCAACCATGTACTGATATGTCCATTTCAGTTTGCATATCTCATATCAGAAGAATATTGGATTCCTAGGAAAGTCACAGAACTAAGAAAAAGGCCAAAGAAAGGCAGTTCTTGGTTTACTCCTATGAATAATGATCTTAAAAGAAATAGGAAAAGCTGGACACCAATGGTTCATGCCTGTAATCCTAGCTACTCAGGAAGCTGAAATCTGAGAATCATGGTTCAAAGCCAGTCTGGACAGGAAAGTCCATGAGACTTTTATCTCCAGAAAGCCAGAAGTGGTTTTGTGGCTCAAGAGGTAGAGCACTAGCTTTAAGCTGAAGAACTCAGGTACAGCGCCCAGACCCAGAGTTCAAGTTCCACAACTGAACTGCACTCCCACCACAAAAAGAAAGAGAAGGAATATGAAATGTGGGTCATAACCTCATTTAAAAGAATGTGAAAATTGGGAGCGGTAGTCTACACCTGTTACTCCAGCTTTCAGGAGGCTGAGACAGGTGTATCATAAACTGGTTTGGGCTACATAGTGAGAATCCATCGCCACAAAACAAAAATAAATAGAAAAACCACATGAGTGTTAAGGAAAAATTGTAGTTGAATATGAAACCTTGTATTTTGGTTAAAAGAATTTCTGTGCCATTTGCATTTTGATACTGATTTTTATTTTTTCCATTTCCTGGAGTTCACGTTGATAAATGTTATTTTATATGAAGGCATTGAACCTTCATTTGGATATTTATAACAAATATTCACAAGCCAAACAATATTATCAACATAGGCAGACAGGATATGGGCAACTGACAAGAAGTGTCTGTCCTGTCATATAGCAAATGGTTATATGGTCCATGGACCAGATGTTCCCCATCCCTGCAAAAGTTTTTGTGAACTGAAGCAATAACCCTATGTTAGTCAGTTTTCCAAGTACTATGACAAAATTCCTGAATGTCTAATTTCCAATTAAAGGGAAGGAAGGCTTATTTTGGCTTAAAGTTTCAGAGGTTTCAGTCCATGCTTGGCTGGCTCTACTTCTGTATATCTGTTGCAAGGCAGAATTTCCTGGCTGTGGGAGCATGTAGCACAACAGAGTTGCTCACTTCATGGAGGACAGAAGCAAAGAGGCAAGGAACATGACACTCTTCAAAGACAAGCTCTCAGTGACTTGATTCCTCTACCACTCATCTACCAATTATCCATTGATGAAGTCAGCACCCTCAGGATCCAGCCAGCTTTCAATAGCACCACCTTCTTAGGGACAGGACTTCCATGTATGAGCCTTTGGGGCCATTTTATATTCAAAGCACCAGCTTTTGGTTTTGTTGATTTATTTTGCTATTTTTGTTTTCAGTTTCATTGTTTCTGCTCTGCTCTTCATTCTAGTTGCTTTGAGCTTTAAACACCCACTCTCCTTTGGGTCTCAAAGTAGAATCTTGGCTCATTGAGACCTTTCTTCTTTCAGCTTTTAATGCTGTAACTCCCCCCCCCCCCCCCCGCACTACTGAATATAAACATCCTACAAATTTTGATAAGTTGTATTTCCAGTCAGTTCAGATATTTTCTAATATCCCTTCAGACTTCCTTTTTCACCCATAGAGATTCAGGTATTTAGAAGAATAATATCTAATCTCCAAAGACTTAGGCTTTCCCAGACACCTTTCTGCTATTGATATGTAGTGAAATTCCATTAAATTCAGGAAACATACTTTGCATGATTTCATTCTTTTCATTAAAGCTCATTTTATTCCCCAGAACATGATCTGCCCTGGTCTAAAATTGAACTCATTATTCCCTGACCTTTTCCGTATTCCATCCTGCTCAGTTGTTCTTTTCCCTAAGCACTATCTCTAGCTATCAGCCACGACCTTCCCAGGCATGTAAGCCAGAGCCCCAGAGTAACCTTTCTTGGGCTCACAGGAGGTATCCTGTGCATCTCCCTCATGGAATGAATTGCCATTGCGTTTCCCTTCATTTCCCTGTGCCCTTGGACCTGCTGTTGTGCATATGCCTTCCTTTCTAGCCACATCCCCCTCAAAGCCATGTTTTTTTACTGCTATACTCTGCTCCCAGACCCTGTCTCAGAAGGCATCCCAGACTCCTTTGGCCTGGTGATGCTTCCCTCAGAGATCCTGCGGCGCTTGCACAGACCTGCACTGTGGTCCTTCTTCCTCAAGACTGTGTCACTCACTGTGGTGTGAGCTCACCTTTGTGCAGCTCTGACTCTCCTTTCTCTCTGAACAGTAAATAAATCTGTCTTTCAAATTCACCATAGTCTTTATTCTTTGGTTTGGCATCTCTTCCCTTTCTGGCCATCATTGCTGCCATGTTATCCCCTAGTCTGATCTTTGACCAGGTGTCTTCCAACCCACTGGTCCAATGGAGCTAGTGCTTATATATAGCCAAATCCACTGGACACTTGGATGCCCTTCAGTCCTTTGATCCTTCAGCAGGCTCACTGCAGTGTTTGCTCATATGTGTGCAATATCGACCACACTCCTCTTATTGAGGCTTTTCTGTGCTGAAGTTCAGGCTGCTGTATTCTCTGGACATTGCCCTTTCTCTTTGGTCATTCTTTGGCTTTGATGTGTCCTCACTCTTCTCTGTGGGACTGAGATGTTGGGGTCTTTGGATATCACCCTTGATGTGTTCTGCCTCTCTCTCTCTCTCTCTCTCTCTCTCTCTCTCTCTCTCTCTCTCTCTCTCTCTGATACAGCCTTGCTGTGTTGCTCCTAGTTCAAGCAATCCTCCTGCCTCAGACTTCCCAGACTTCCAAGAGCTGGGACTACAGTGTGTGTCATCATGTCTAGCACTTTTCTCTTACCCCCATGCCCTGGCTTTATTTAACTTCTGAATCGCAGACATTTAACATTGTATTGACTTCTCTTATCTGGTAGCTCTGGATATACCTCAAATATACATCTAAAATGGGAACTTACACTCTTTCCATAGACCTTTTCTTCCTGCTGGATTTCTCTTTTGTTACATTTTTGTACATTGGAATACAGTAGTTCCTCATTTTACTTGATTTTACTTTCAAGTTTTCATTATTCCTGGTCTGAAATTTTAAATGGGAAATTCCAGAAATAAATTTAAATTATGCACCATTCTACTCAGTGACCTGGTCTGTGTTACTACGTTCTGGAGTAGGAGTGTCCTTGTCCAGGACCAAGGACCAAGGAGTGGTCCTTGTCCAGAATATATACACCATGTATGATATCCTCCGGTTAGTCACAGGAAGCCATGTTGGTTACAAGATCAACAGTTAAGACAACATACTGCTTGTATTCAATAATGGCTTATTTAATATGGCTTCAAAGCCTGAGAGACACTGCTGGAAATTTTTATTACAGTATATTGTTATAGTTGTTCTATTTTATTAGTAGTTATTTTTTTCTTTTTTTTTTTTTGGGTGCTGTTGTGGGGCCTGAACTCTGGGCCTGGGCGCTGTCCCTCAGCTCTTCAGCTCAAAGCTAGTGCTCTACCACTTGAGCCACAGCGCCACTTCCGGCTTTTTTTCTTTTTTTTTTTTTTTTGCTTATGTGGTGCTGAGGAATTGAACCTACGGCCTCATGCATTGCAAGGCAAGCGCTCTACCACTGAGCCACCTTCTCAGCCCCTTATTAGTAGTTATTGATCCTATACTGTTTCTAGTTTATGTATTAGACTTTATCATGTGTGTATGTATAGGAATGTATGTAGTGAATATGTAGTGAATTGATTCACTACATCTCCTATATACAGTATAGGAGATGCATAGGAAAAAACATGTATAGGGTCCTATACTATCTGCGATTTCAAGCATCTGTGTTTCATGGAGAGGAGGGATTGCTGCAGTATGGCTGCTGTTTAAAAATTCTTGAATAGACTGTAAGGCCTTTGAGGCAGACCCTTGTATCATCCGAGTATATATTGGCTGTAACTGGTTCATAATGTTAATGTTGTTAATGAAGAGTGAACAAGTTTTCCTTATTACAGTTCCAGGGTTTAGCACAGATTTTATGCCTAAAAAGAAAGTATATCAGCTGGCTGCCAGTGGCTATAATCCTATGCCTATAATCTTAGTTACTCAAGAAGCTGAGATCTGGTGATCAAGGTTCAAACCAGCCCAACCAGGAAGGTCTTTGAGACTCTTATCTCTACTAAACTATATTAAAAAAAGCCAGAAGTAGAGCTGTGGCTCAAGTGGTAGAGCACTAGCCTTAAACAAAAGAAGTCGAATCCAGATCTGTTCTGTTCTGAATCAACATACAATTTGATTCAAATAATTATTTTTGAGAACTTAAATATAATTACTACCTAATTTTTGGTGGTAATTATGCTTTGGGCCAAACAGTCTTCCATTGAGATAAATTAACAAAAGTAAATATATAAATATGAAGAACATTTCTGAATGTATGTTACATGCCAGGCACTGCTATTTGATAGTTCAGGTGTTAACGTACTTTTCTTTATTTCAGACTTGTTATGGTTCTGATGAGGGAACTAGCAGAGAGGCTAAGTAACGTGCTCAGTTATCACAGAGCTGACCTGTGCATGAGCTGGAACTCACACTGAGGCAGTCTGACTTCTAAGCCTATGTTCCTAACCGTATGTGAATTATGATGTTCGTCCGCCTGCTGTGGAGCCCAGGAGCTATCATTGCGTACACTCTTGTTGTCTTACTGCCTCTCCTCGTTTTACCTCTTCCTCCCCGCACCCTTCAACCCTGTCCTGTATCTTTATGAAAACAATATTGCCTTCTCGGACTTCTTTTTTGTACTTTACATTTCTGACATCTATTGGGATGCTACTGGCAGCATTTAGTGTCATTGCTGTGTTGTATTCACGGACAATATTGGGTAATTATGGCAGTCTTATTTTTTGAATCTTTTACCACTAGCAGATAGCTAGTTTATCTCTGATGTTGCTGTGAGCATCCTCCTACCTTTTCCTGGGTGAAGGAATGGTAGAATCTCCAGGATAAGAACTCATGGTGAAATTGCTAATGATCCTGTGTGCAGAAATTACATCACAAGTGAGGAATAATCACTCCTAATCTGAAAACAGACTAATTAGTGTACTTCTCTCCATTGATGTCTGCTTTTCCCCCTAGAGTAGTCCTACCCGTGGAGTTACCATGCTACCCTAATGATTTTTAGGGTTCTTTCTTTTCTGCAGAGTTGTTTATCTACTTCTACTCATTACTTAGTTTTTATCACCCATTGCAACGCCATCGCAGCGTCAGAGTTACAGCCTGTGTATGATGCAATTGTTCCACTGCAAGAAGTCCCCTCATAAGCTGTCCTCTGCCCCATAGCCTAAAGTAGAAGAATCTACAGAATCATCTTATTATTTGGGGCAGAGGGTGCTAGGGATTGAACCCAGGGCCTCAGGCATGCGTATGATTTGCCACTGAGCTGCTCCTGCAGCCTCTCTACAGTGAATCTTTTCACTGGCTTTTACAATATTGTCTTGCAGTTTCTTTCTTTCTTTCTGCAAATCTCTTTTTTTTTTATACTCCTCAAATCTATTCAGGAAGCTTCTTCTCGCCGCTCTGATGTCTTTTCGTTACTATATGGAGTAGTTTACCTCTTCAAAGCCTCTGTATTCACCTCACTGCAGCCTCTCTCTGAATATTTAAACCAGTCTGCAGAGGCAGAAGCAAGCTGCCTGCTGTAATGGGGTCCACTGCTTCAGAAGAGAGATGTAGTTGTAAATAGCAGTCTTTCCTCATTCGCAAAGTTCCCTTTGAGTGTCTGCTTGAGAACCATTTGGAGCTGTGTATAGATTAGACTTGAATTCAACTCATTTATATTATTTTTCAGATATTGTGTTTCAGTTACTCTTCTGCAAGCTTTCATTAAGCAATATCTAAAATGCTGGAGAACACTGGAATCTTTATCACAGTACTTAAAGAAATGTGGAAAATATTGACCTATATACTTGCATTGATCTATTTAAAGGCAGAGTTTATTGTTTCTTTTCTACTAATGAATCATCTATTATATAGCTTAGAGTTGTATTTAACTTTCATACCCAATTTCTTCCATACCATAACTTAAAATTAGTAATTTATTTGTGTTTCTCAGTGTGCCAGAAAAATGCTGTTATGTAGCCAGAGTTGGTGTCTGTATCTGTATCTGTGGGGTTCTTCATATGTGGATTCAAGAAACCATAATTGAAGCTAGGTACTTTGGCTCATGCGTATAATCCCAGCTGTTCATGAGGATACATAGTAGGAGGATTGTGGTTTGCGGCTAGCCTGGGCAAAAAGTTCTTAAGACCTTTATCTCAATCAGTAAAATCTGGGTGTGGTGGTACTTGCTTAGCTATGAGGGAAGTGAAAATAGGAAAATCATGTTTAGGCCATAAGTGTGTGACCCCATTTGAAAATAATGAAAGAAAAAAGGACTGGGGTGTGGCTCAAGTAATATAGTACCTGCCTGGTAAGTAGAAGGCCCTTAGTTCAACCCCCAATAGTGAGAAATGAAAGAAAGAGTGGCTGAAAATATTAGGAAAATTATGTCTGTGTGTCTGTGATGAACTTAGGTAGACTTTTTGTCACACAGTATTTTGTTTAGCATTTAAATTGTGTTAGCTAGAGTAAATAATGTCGAGATGACTTAAAGTAAAAGGGAGGGCCAGGAGCAGGTAACTCATACCTGTAATTCTGGCTACGGAGCAGGCTGAGACCCAAGGATCATGACTCAAAGCCAGCCCATGTGGGGAAGTAAATTACTAAATAAATTACCAAAAATTAAGCCAGAAGTGGAGCTATGGCTCAAATTGTAGAGCAATAACTTTGAGCAAAATTAAAGCTCAGGGACAGTGTCCAAGTGCTGAGCTCAAGCTCCTGGACTGGGAAAAAAAAGTATATAGGAAGAGCTTGAACATCTAGTTTTTGAATCTATGGGGTTCCTGGATCCAATCCTTGCAGACACCAAGAGAAATCTTTAACAGTACTGTTATGCTGTCAAGTTAAGGGACTATTTCCTTTTATGCTTTCAGGGCCAGTCTATTTTCATTCAGTAGAAGGCATGGGCCTAGGACCTGGTATAGATGCCCTTCCCCTTAGTGTACGTCCTGAAGGGAGACAGATGATCATCTGTGAATGCAGGAAACACTGCAGGGCTGTGGCCGGTGCTCAGCAGAACAGACAAGAAAGGTGATGAAGTAGGCTTCCTGACCTCTGAGCAGAGCTGTGAGGTGTGGCCCATACAGGCCCTGGGGAGCCTTGCAAGCTCAGTTAATGTAAGGTTCAGAAGAAACATATGCTAGGGAGAGTTAAAGAAAGTATCTTAGAGAGAGATTAATCCCATCCTGTCCACACTTCTGTTTTTCAGGTATCCGAGATGTTTCTAAATGGAGTGAGAAAGCAAGGAAGCCCCTGGAAGTCCTGTATGGGTATGACTACCTAGCCAGTACCTGCGAAAAATGGGTGGATGGCATATCACAGTTTAAACATCTGCCAGATGGTAGGTGGCCTATGATGGTTCCTTTGCTGATTAGATGAATGTGTGCATTCCTCTCTGATGTCCCAGGAATCCCACCATGTTCCTCACGGAGAGGACACTAGTTGTATGCAATATGAGCTCTTGTGTAGCAAGTCTGCCTTGGACTCAAAGCAGAGCTGCATGTGTGAAAGTTCACACTTCTAAGCCTTTATAGCAAATGTCATTTTTCCCTTCAGTGGAGGTGATGACAAAATAGTTCTCTAGAAGCCTCTGTTTCTATTTTCTAATTCCAGAATGGGTAATTATGTCATGATTTTTCACTCTAGTAGAATTATTGTAAATAAGAGAGCACTGACATCTTTCTGGAGATGACAGCATCTTCAGAACCAGGTGATATGACCTTAGCCATGAACCAATGACTCCCTTTATCTGAGGAATCAGGGAGATTCTCATGAGCAGTAAAGCTTGACATATTTTAGAGCCCTTCTGAATTAAAGTCTATTTTTATGTGGCTGTGTATGAGCAAGCTTTCCACAGGTATAATAGATAACCATCTTAGCAAAGAAAAGACATTTTATTTTACAGTGGTCCATGACGAGGGAGAGGCAGTGGGTAGAACATCATGACAAGAGCACATGGCATAGCACAGCCACTTACCTCATGGCTGTAAAGTCAAAAAGAAAAAGAAAGTGTGCCCTAATGACATGAAGACCTCTTCCAGGCCCCACCTGGTGCTACTCTAAGGAACAAGTCTTTCAGGGGCCTTAACAATCTTTATAAGCCTTGGAATCTGTTCTCTCTCTCTCTCTCTCCTTCTCCCTTTCCCTCCACATATCTCTCTCCGTCTCTCTCTTCCTTCCCCCTCCCTCTTTTGCTATTTCTGCTTCCCTGCCTACCTTTCTCCTTGCCTCCTTTTTCTTTTATAATCATGGAAAAAAATAGAGTAGCTAGAATTTAATTGGGAAGACTTTCAGGTACAGAATACTTGTGGTTGAAGGACTAATTTGTTCTACTGGTAGTTAATTTCCAATGCTTCCAGGCATCTGGCATATTAAAATTTGTACAATGAAAAGACTTTGGAAATGTTCCATTTCTGGTTTAAGTTCAAAACAGCAGATGCATGCCTTGCAATGATTCTGTTCTAATGTAGCATCTGCCATATAAACAGGTCTTTGAGATGTATTTTCCTCTGATCTTAGAAGAAACTTCTATAAAACAATGAGTTTACACTGTGTGTCTTTTTTTTTTTTTTTTAAACCAGGGCTGAGAACCGAACCCACAGCCTTGTGCGCGCCAGGCGGGCACCCTTCCGCTGGGCTAAACCCCCAGCCCCTGAGTTTACACTATGAAATGTAAACTTTTGTACTTTATAGAAGAGTGCAATTAAAAGATAGGAAGATCCAAGGCAGAAATAAAGTTTGAACAATGATTCAAAGTTACAGTATGATGTGGAGTATCTAATAGTGTAAAAGTACCTTGCAAAATCCCTTTATTTATAATTGTTCTCTAAGATTTATGGATGCTTGCATTGGCAGAGTTGTTAATTGTACAGCTTCAGAATCAGGTGGGTCTGCATTTGAATTACAGCTCTATCACATGGCCTGCTGTCAAAACAGATGGAGGCAGATGACTTAACTTCTCTGTGCTTCAGTTTCTTCTCTGTGACTAGGCCAATGTAATACCTACCTCATAAAGTTGTGCAGATTGAGTGGAATAATACATGCCTAGCATAGTGCAGTTACAGCGTTTGATGAACAATTTCTGTTTCTATTATTATAGAAGTGTTCAGTTTATAAATAATGACTTACTGAGCGAGGTAAAAATGTGTAACCTTTATAAGTATTTAATAGCACACTGTTCCTGGTACACAGGGAGTACTTGGCTGTATCAAAATGGTCTGAATAGATGGCAAATGTGTGCCATCCAAGCCTCAGGAGAAGGAGGCTTCAAAGACCTAGACATCTACTTCCCCTGTCACCAGGCCACTTCTCATTTAGTGGCGAGCCACCTGCAGATGAAGAGGCCTAGGCCTGTACCTTATGGGCAGCAGCATGAAGCTGGCTCCCAGCTAGCTCTGTGGTAGCACACTTTTCTCTCAATACAGACAGAGGTGGGAGATGGTGAAGGAAAGAGTTATCTGCAGGGTTACACAGAAGCTTCTATGTGGCTCTCAGAATTATGATTATTTCTGTTTTGAGACTGAAGCTCATGGTGAAGGGGTCCTAGGCAGAAGTTGGAGCACAAGCTGACCATTGCCTCAGTAATGCTGTTCTCAGCAGGCCCAGATCCAGATCCTCAGATCTCAGAGGGTGGGAGGCAGGAAAATCCCCCAGGCTCTAGCAGTAAAGATCAGCCGTTTCCCAGGAGCACATTGCAATTCCAATATGAATCTGTATAACAGGCCATCAGGAGTGTCACATCTGCCCAGTGGCTGATGGGCCGCCCTGTATGACAGAAAGAGTGGCAGTTTTCTTTGTTTGATTTGTAAGGCATTAATTTAAATTAGGCAAAGCAGTTTGTTTGCTAATATAACTTACAAACACAAAAGCGTAGAGAAATACAAATAGAAACCCAAGGCTTTTAGAGCTGGAGGGAGTCACAAATTCAAACCAGTTTTCACAGACAGGGAAACAGCCACCGAGGTAGGCATTAGTCACCTTTCCATCACTAATAAAATACCTAAGGTAGTTCATTAACTTATAAGAAAAGAATGCTTATTTGGTTTATAGTTCTGAAGGATTCAGTCTATGGTAAAGAGGTCCCACAGCTTTGGTCTCTGAGGCAGTGCATTGTGGTAGGAACATGAGACATTACATACTGACCTACATCACAAGTCAGGGAACAGAAGAGAGGATGGGATGGGACCCTCCAATCTCCTTGACAAGCACTCCAATGACCTAAAAACTTACACTAGTGCTCAGCTTCCACCACATCCCATAGCCCTTCTCCAGGATCCAAGCCTTTATTACCAGACGATCCAGACTGCGTCAGTGTGGCTGTGTGAGCTGTTTTTTCCTCTTTTAGAATGCTTACACTGAGGTCAATTCTGGGCTTTACCTTGCAGGTAATATCTGCCGGCACTTGCTGCCCCTGGTTCAGTGCCCCACCCTAATTGTGCATGGCGAGAAGGACCCTCTGGTTCCACGTTTTCATGCCGACTTCATACATGAGCATGTGAAAAGGTCAAGGTGAGTCCAGCCTCAGCATCTCTGAAAGGAAGCAGGAACGGTGGGGAGTGTATCCATTCAGCCATTTAGTAGCAGTGTGTTTCCGGTACCACAGGGACGTGGACAGCAGCAACCCTGACCAGTAGGAAGCCAGTAGCTGAGAAGAAAGGGCCTCTCTGATTCTTGTAATGGGTAAATGTGCAGATGGGAGCCAAGTTTAGTTTTTTGTTTTTGATTTTTGTGGGTTTTAAAATAATTTTGTTGTCAAGGTGATGTTCAGAGGGGTTACAGTTACATAAGTAAGGTAGTGATTACATTTCTTGTCTAACTTGTTACCCCCTCCCTCATTTTTCTCCCTCTTTCCCTCTCCCCATTCCCCCGCCAACATCTGTCTTGTGCGTATGGCTGTTGCATTGGTTCCTCCTTTGTCCTTTATCTCACCATTCTGTTGTTTCCCTTCCCATCCCTAGTTCTGATAAACATATACGCAATTCCCAGGGTACCAAAATTGAATGCAGCGACAACAGGAGATAAACTATAGGGTAGTAAAAAAGTAAAAAGTAAAAAGAAATCATGTAGTACATTGAGAACAACAAAGGAAAACCTCTTGTGTCTATGTCTTGAAATTCATTTTGCTTAGCATCATCTTTTTGGTCATATGTATATAGCTATTGAGCTATTCTTCTCATCTGCTAAGATTACCCTAGATGTATACTAATTATTATTAATAAGGGAGACCATGGGACCTATGTTTCTTTGGGTCTGGCTTCACTTAATATGATTTTTTTCCAAGTTTTAGTGGAGTTTTTTGGTGCTGGTCCTAAAACTTGAACTCAGGGTCTGGACACCATCCAGAGCTTTTTTGCTCAAGGCTAGCACTCTGTCGCTTTAGCCACAGCTCACCTTCCAGCTTTTTGGTGGATAATTGGAGATAAGAGTCGCATGAACTTTCCTGCTTGGGCTGGATTTGAACCTTGATCCTCAGATCTCAGCCTACTGAACAGCTAGGATTACAGGTATAAGCTACAGGCTCCTGGGGGTGCTTAGATTTTATCAGTCTTATTAACTGAGGCTCCTGGTACTGTTTAGATTTTATCCATCTGATTAACTGAGACAATTTTGTATAATTTGAGAAATTTTATTTTAGTTTTTTATTATAAAAATACTACCTATCTAGGAAAAAATGAATAAACAGGAAAACATAATGTTAGTCCTGCTACAGGTTTAAATACTGCCATCATTAGCATTTTTATGCATGATGTAACCACAATCTATATTTCTGAGACCTGCTTTGTTTCTCACCTGAAATTATGTTGTAAACTTTTTATGTATTTCAGTCTTAAATGTGTACACACAAAACTGAGAAACCTGTTATCACGAACTGCAAACGTCTGCATGCACTGGCTATGGTGCAGAGCCAGTAAGGAGCAAAGAGAGCTGATAGATTCACATCACCTTGTGGTTAGGCACTGTGGCTCACATTGTAATCCTAGCTACTCAGGAGACTAATATCTGAGGATCGTAGTTTGAAGCCCAGACAGAAAAGTCTATGAGACTCAAATTAACCACCAAAACAGCTGAAGTGGAGGTTTGGCTCAAGTGTAGAATGCCAGCCTCAGTACTGGCACCAAAAAAAAATCACATTTTTAGACAAGTCTTCAGATTTTTAGACAAGTTTATAAGTTGATTTAATAAGCAGTAAGATATTTTCAAATTAGGCTTTATAAAATTAGAATACTAAATCATGGTTGGGATTTAAAATTGAAACATAATTTTGTGTCAAATGTTTTTACTATTAGATTCATCCTTTCATTAATCCTCCTAAAAGTTTTCTGTATAATCTGTCTTTGGGCTTTAATATAATTTCATATTTTTAGAATATGTACATGATTTTCTTCATAGCATTTTATATTTTAAAAGGTATTTGGGAGCATCATTATTCCACAATACTGTGAAATTCCGGAAGTTATGTAATCACTTAATCACAATAAAAAAAAAAGAACCTTGGGGAAGGTAGGGAGGGAGGGGATGGTAAGGGGAAAACAATGGAGGGGGTAACAATGTTCAAGAGGAAGTGTACTCATTACCTCACTCATGTAACTGTAACCCTCTGTATAGTATCTTAACAATAAAAAAAAATATATTAAATAAAAAAAGGTATTTGGCATAAAACACCTAATTGTATTTTACTGCAAACTCATGAAAAATAATACATCCATTTTACAGATAGAAAGCAAGGTTATTCTATGTTAAATATCTTTCAGGTGGTACAGCAGTAAATGACAAATTTTGGATTTTCTCCTACTACATAGTGTTTTCACTACAGCCCAGCTGTCTCTTGTAAACATACTCCTAGTGCAGTGGTCATCTGCCTGGAATGATATGTCAGTGGCCTGCTTAGTGGTCATCCAGCTCTAGAGAAACAGTATTTTCTGGATAATTCAGAGGGAGCATTTTAGTAAAGTCAGGCTATGAGAAAGTTCAGTATGGCAACTCTTCCAGATACATTGCCTAGCTACAGAATACATAGATATGAGACAAAAATGCACCCTCTTGTGTGAGAATTAATTGCTCCAGTAGACTGTCTTGTGGAAGATCATTTTCTTACAAACATAAGCTTGGAACAAATGGCCTGAGGTAACGTGTTATTAGCGATGATTATCTCAAACTGGCCTGTGTTTTCCACTGTCTCTTCTAAAAGAGCCCTTTACATTCTTGGCTTATTTGGAAACCCATGAAAGGAAGCTGGATTCCTGGAGTTCTACAGTCCGACTGTGATGGTGTACAATCTGACAACAAGGAGACCAGCTCAGGAGAATAGGCTTTAATGAAATTGAGATTTCATTCCCTTGCCAGATGCATTATTAATTATACTTATAGACTTAGTCTGTCCCATCACAGATGTTTACCATTTGTTCTGAGTTACATCCTCATCATCAATATTGTCAACTTTTATTGGGTTTATTGGGGCAGAACCTGGCTATAAATCTGTACTTTGTCATAGTTCTGGAGTCTAAGCACAAGGCTGGTTTGGTTTCTGTTGAGTCTTTTCTCCCCAAGTTGTAGATACCCTTCTTTCCCTCATATCTTCATGTGATCTTTCCTCTGCAACTATGTCCAAATTTCTTCTTATAAGGATACTAGTCATCATGTGGCCTCATTTTGAACAAATTAGACTCTGACATCTCAATGTATTAATTTAGAGGGCACAATTCAGCCCATGACTGTGTTTTAGACCTCATAAGTTAGGGACCCAGCAGAGACCAGTGCCTGGGTTTCATAACCAAGTACAAATGCTGGTCCTTGCCTGGACCCCTCTGTCCCTTGGCCCTCCCTTGCCAGCGTACCCGTTCAGTCACAGCCTCTCTTCAGTGGGGCTTCTCGCAGTGAGGTCTTGTGGCTTTGTAGTCATACCTTTTTTCCCTATTTTTTTCAACTGTCACTTCTTTTTATTATTATTGCTACTTTCATTGTCATTATAGAGGTGATGTACAGAGGGGTTACAGTGACATAACAGGTAATGAATACATTGCTTTCTTGCTTTTTTTTTTTGTCGGTAGTGGGGCCTGGGCTCTTTCCCTCAGCTCTTCAGTTCAAGGCTCTACCACTTGAGCCACAGCACCACTTCCAGTTTTCTGGTAGTTAATTAGAGATAAGAGTCTCATGGACTTTCCTGTCTGAGCTGGCTTTGAACTGTGATCCTCAGATCTCAGCCTCCTGAGTAGCTAGGATTATAGGTGTGAGCCACCAGCGCCTGGCCTTATCTTCCAATTTGAAAGGAAGATATCTGGATCCTTCACTCATGTCAGAGTTACAATGGGTCTGATACCTTCTCAGGCCAGCTCCCTTCCCCAGAGAAGGGCTAGGTAATAGAGCTATAGCTCAAATTGGTAGAATTCTCACTACCTACTACTGAGGTAGTAAGGGGTTTACACAATGCATACTAGAATTTTTCCCCAATGTAGTCCTTGCTATATCTACTTGTCACTGTAGACATAATAGCTTGAACTTGTGCTTACATTCTTCAACCTTTAATTTGTTCAAATTTTCCCCTATTTCCACACTTTGGTAACTAATAAAATGCAGAACCCAGAGACAGTTGTTTTTTAAAGGAATTGCAAACCAGCCTTCTTTGACCCAAATCCTAAGCCTCCTCCTACTCAAATCCAAAGTTGTAACAGGACAGAGGTTACAAATAAGATGAGCTTCAACAGCTATAGAAGTAGCTCTGGGCTCAGGCCTTGATAACAGCCATAACTGTCCTGAGGTATTTTGCCATCTGTTTGGTGGCTGGTAGAAGGCTTATTTGCTCAGTACTAAAAACATGAACCTGGAACACTAGGGTGATGAATTCTTATTTGCTCTTTCCTACTATGCAGATAAGTCCAAGAGGCTCACTTGCTCAACCCAGTGGACTCTGGACATGTTTTTGTTTTCTTATTGCCCTTCTGCCTTCTCTCTTTAAATAAACTTCATTAGAAAAGATTTTTTAAAAGTAATCACTAAACCACCTCTCTCATTTTGTCCAAACCATATGTTACAGGCTGTGATTCCAAATATGCTGTTTCTGTCTCTGTTAGGTGAGCACCGTAGAGTGACAGTCAGCCCAGGTGCTCAGAGCCTATAGTGGTTTCAGCCCCTGTCTGTTCATAGAAAGTTTACACAGTTCTTTCCATGGCTCCCCAGTGCTAATTGGCGGTTTTTCACTTCAGATTTTAATAAAAGGTTGAAGGAAAATGATTTTAAGTGGTATGTCTGCCATTGGCTAAAAGAATTTTTGTTTGATTTGTTTAGATTGCATCTAATGCCAGAAGGCAAACACAACCTGCACTTACGTTTTGCGAAAGAATTCAACATGTTAGTGGAAGACTTTCTACAATGAAACTCTATCTGAGGACTTTTGTGGACTAGAGGTTCTGTGATGAGGGCCTTGATCATGTGACTCCATCACCAAGATACCTCAGCACTGCCCTCTGTCCTCCCATCATGCCTCAGTTCCCAAGAGTCCTGTCCTCCCTACAATGTGATCAAATCAGGTGGGCTGCGTGACATACGGAAAAACCTCAAGTTTTAATGGCTCCAAAATGAAGACTGATTTCTTTAACATTCTATTGTGGATTTCTATCATTCTCTTAAAAATAAGTTCCTACCATGATTTATTTTCAGATATGCTTCAAGTAGAAAATTTATTCGTGTCTATTTATGGATCTAGAATTCACAGCATACCTTTATCTTATAGGTAAAGATGGGCTTGTCTTTACTTGTATTCATTACCTTGTTCTAAAGGAAGGAAATAAAATCTTCAACAACTCTGTTTCTGCAGATTTGGAGGGTATCTAAGAAAACAGCAAAGAAGGACAGGTTTACTTTATCCCCAAACTACTCTTCACTCTTGGTTACTAAGAGGTGTATAAAAGCTGCCTTTGGGATGTAGAGCTGTAGCTCTAGTGGTAGAGTACTAGTGTTGAGCCAAAGAAGCTCAGAGACAGTGCCCAGGCCCCAAGTTCAAATCCCCTCCATCAAAGCTGCTTTTGCTGGGCCCATTAATTAACTATAAGCAGTAGACAAGCTTGGCATTTTGTCTCCATTTTGTGTTCACTCTAGCCATTCTCTCTGCAGTTACTTTGGAATCCAGGAAGAACTGTCAGTAATATCTTTCCAACAGGGATAGAAGGAACAATAGAGCCTCCTCCAGACAGCCCACCCACTAGACAGTGATGACTTGTTTATCCTCAGCAGTGAGGACAGTGATGACTTCTTCAGAGCCCTTCCCAAAGTAAAAACAGAAATAATGATCAACCAGACCATACTTTGACCAGGACTGTTTAATAATTATGCATTTATGCATAACTGTTTTGCCCTGTCCCTATCTCTTTATTAACCTAAAGCTCATTTTTAAATCTCAAAGAAGACCAAAAGCATATACTGAAATGCTGCCTTCCCGTGACATTCCTGTGTCATATAATCTTTCTCTGCCCTTTATCATGCTTCTTTATTGGTATATAGAAGTGAATGGCTGGAGCCGGGCGCTGGTGGCTTATGCCTGTAATCCTAGCTACTCAGGAGGCTGATCTGAGGATCATGGTTCAAAGCCAGCCTGGGGAAGGAAAAGCAATGAGACTCTTACCTCCAGTAAACCACCAGAAAACTGGAAGTGGCACTGTAGCTCAAGTGACAGAGTGCTTGCCTTGAGCTGAAGAGCTAAGGGACAGCTCCCAGGCCCAGAGTTCAAGCCCCACAACTGAAAAAAAAAAAAGTGAGTGGCTGGATCTGATGTGTTGAACTCCAAGAGTTTGGGCTTAGAGACTAAAAACTCTGGTTTCATTGGCTTAGTATTGAGAATTTTTTTTTAATATTTTGGGCCAGGGGAAATAAAATATATTTAATCTTTTTACTAAAACAGGTATGCAGTTGTTAAAAGTGCTGATGCAGCAATCCTACATTGCTATTAAAATTAAACATTGAGCCAGGTGTTGGTGGCTCACACCTATAATACTAGCTCTCAGGAGGTGGAGATCTCAGAATTGAGGTCCAGAACAGGCCCCAGAAGACAAATCTGTGATAATCTTACCTCCAGTTCCCCAGCAAAAGACTGGAAGTGGAGATGTGGCTTAAGTGATAGTGAGCCAGCATGGAGGAAAAAAAAAAAAACCAAGTGAGTGTGAGAGGCTGTGAACTCAGGCACCAGAGCTGACATTTGAAAGAAAAACAAAAGATTAAACTTTGTACTTAAGAAACATATGTGAAAGAATAAAAGCTATTCAAAGGATAATAAAGAGTACAGGTATAATACACATGCTTCTTTATTAGCATAGGTGTGTTAAAAGACAATACTGTAATCTTTAAAGGAGATCCACTTATTACATCAACAGTGAATTTCTGACAGAGGCAAAACTGAGCACCATGGTATACAAATAAAAGACCATGCTGGAGGACAATAAGAGTTCACTAAGGGTGCACGATTTATTTCAGAAGTTCTTAAGCCTCATCTTCACCCTCCTCCTCCTCAAACTCCCCCTGTTCATCAGCAGTGGCATCCTGGTACTGCTGGTACTCAGACACCAGGTCATTCATGTTGCTCTCAGCCTCAGTGAACTCCATCTCGTCCATGCCCTCACCGGTGTACCAGTGCAGGAAGGCCTTGCGCCGGAACATGGCCGTGAACTGCTCGGAGATGCGCTTGAACAGCTCTTGGATGGCCGTGCTGTTGCCAATGAAGGTGGCCGACATCTTGAGGCCACGCGGGGGGATGTCACACACAGCCGTCTTCACGTTGTTGGGGATCCACTCCACGAAGTAGCTGCTGTTCTTGTTCTGCACATTGAGCATCTGCTCGTCCACCTCCTTCATGGACATGCGGCCTCGGAAGATGGCAGCCACCGTCAGGTAGCGGCCGTGGCGGGGGTCGCATGCAGCCATCATGTTCTTGGAGTCGAACATCTGCTGGGTGAGCTCGGGCACTGTGAGGGCCCGGTACTGCTGGCTGCCCCGGCTGGTCAGGGGGGCAAAGCCTGGCATGAAGAAGTGCAGGCGGGGGAAGGGCACCATGTTCACGGCCAGCTTGCGCAGGTCTGCGTTCAGCTGGCCTGGGAAGCGCAGGCAGGTGGTGACCCCACTCATGGTGGCTGACACCAGGTGGTTGAGGTCTCCATAGGTGGGTGTGGTCAGCTTCAGGGTGCGGAAGCAGATGTCATACAGGGCCTCGTTGTCAATGGAGTAGGTCTCATCTGTGTTTTCTACCAGCTGGTGGACAGATAGTGTGGCATTGTAGGGCTCCACCACAGTGTCTGACACCTTGGGTGAGGGCATGACGCTGAAGGTGTTCATGATGCGGTCTGGGTACTCTTCTCTGATCTTGCTGATGAGCAGGGTGCCCATGCCTGACCCGGTGCCACCTCCCAGAGAGTGGGTCAGCTGGAAGCCCTGGAGACAGTCACAGCTTTCTGACTCTTTCCTCACCACATCGAGGACAGAGTCGACCAGCTCGGCTCCCTCTGTGTAGTGGCCCTTGGCCCAGTTATTGCCGGCCCCGCTCTGGCCTGCCAGGGGGAAAGAGAATCTCAGACACAGACTCAAGGGATATTGACTTGTGTCATTCAAATTGTGGATAAGGTATGAGTTCCTAGAAAACCTTTGATATTTTCTTATACACACATTTGTTACATGAAGAGAATATTTTCAGTATGTCAGTGATCTTCAAAAGTTCTAGGCATCATGATAAAGAAGCTGGTTGAGAAAGGAAACATCTTAACCAAACCAAAGAGCATCTAAAATGATCAACAGAGGAGTTAGAGGCACATGGCTTAGTGGGTAGAGTGCTAACCAATGAGCAAAAGCATCAGGTACCCAGTTAGAGTCCTCATCTCAGACCAAAAGAAAAAAAGATGAAAAGAAATAAAATGAAGAACAGAACATCATAAATAATTAGGTGCAATTGAACCAGCATGACAGCCCATGCCTGTATTTCAGCTTCTCAAGAAGTGGGAAAAGGAGAGCCCTGGTCCAAGGCTACTCTGGGTCCAGAAAAAAAAAAAATTGAGACCCTGTCTGAAAAATAAAAATAAAACAGATGACTAGAATATGAGAAGACTTGCCAGGCATATGCAAGTCCCTGAAATCAAACCCCAGTACTCCCCAAAACAAAACAGCTAGTGGGAGGAAGCACAATGTGGTCAGAGAGGATGGGCTTCAGGCACTTGTCCAAACATTGGTCATAAGCCCAGCTTATGACCTCTGACATCCCCAAATGGTTACTGGTTGTCCACAGTTCCATGAAATTACCTGCATTTGTGAAGCCCTAGTGGAAGATTGCTTTGTTCTCTGTTTATTCCCTTCAGAGGCTGCTCTGTCATGGAGGACTGGTCAGGGCTCTGCAGCCTAGCTCTGATCTCTGAGATGTCTGAGGGGCCTGGAGCATGACCCCAACATACTGAGTGTGTGATGCCAGGCCTGGGGGTGTATGGATCCAGGCTTAGCTCGACAGTGAACACAGAATGGTAGAGTGCATGGGTTTAGGAAGAAGAGGATCAATTTGTTATGTGCCATGAACCATGATGACATACCGAACACGAAGTTGTCTGGCCTGAAGATCTGGCCAAATGGTCCCGACCTCACTGAATCCATGGTACCCGGCTCCAGGTCCACCAGGATAGCCCGAGGGACATATTTGTTGCCTGTGGGAACAAGAGCTGATTTAGACCTGTGCTTGGCAAGCAAGTCATGAGCAGAGCTCATAAGTCATAGGTAACTCTCACAGCATCATTTATTACAGAAAATTCCAGCACTGAGACAAAAGGAGGAAACAGAAATGGACACACTGAGCATGCTTCACCTAGCAATCTTCAGCAACTAAACAGACTATTTTGTAGTTGGCATTGAAAACACTATGCAAACAGCATTTCCTTATCATTTGTATGCTCCTAGGTCCTTTCCTCTGCCACTTATGGAAAGCCCAGTTGCCATCCAAACACTTACCAGCAGCTTCATTGTAGTACACGTTGATTCTCTCCAGCTGCAAGTCACTGTCGCCATGGTAACTGCCAGTGGGGTCGATGCCATGCTCATCACTGATGACTTCCCAAAACTGAGATGAAATTGAATCATGTCATGGTCTGGAATGCTAAGTGTCACCAAAGATGGCCTTGAACGGTAGCAGTGGAAAAGAGCATAGAGAGCTGCTGCCCTCCATTTCCTGCAGCAGCTGCTTGCTGCAGAGGGGCTTGGAAATCCACAGCACAGCGCATCGGCCATATTAAGAACACAGACTGAAAGGCTGGGAGGAGCCTGGGGGTGAGGGCATAGAAAATCCCTTTCTAGGAAGCTGTGTAAGGAGAAGGCTCCATCTCTCTAAAAGAACTGAAACCGGGCTTAGTCTAAGCTGATGATTTGCTCCAGGTAAGAAAGAGGTTCCAGTGGTCTCACCCAGAATTACCTCCAGGGCTCAATGGCATCTGGCACAGACCCCCATACAGCTTTCAACAGGCCAGATTTATGCTACTGTCCTACATATTGGCCTCTGAGCACTGACTCCCAGCTGAGAGTGGGCTGGGAAAAACAGGCACAATCCTGGGAGATGCCTGGGCTGCAGTGGAGGAAGCTGGCCATCATG